CTTAGATTGAAGAGCAGAAGAAAGTTTAGCATACCATTGCCTCGAGGCTTGATTAAGGCCATAAAGGGACTTATTTAATTTGCAAGCTAATGAAGAAACAGGAACAGAGGCAGGGGTAGAAACAGTCAAGCCTTAAGGGATTTTCGTGAATACCTCTTCATCCAAATCACCATGGAGGAAAGCGTTGTTGACATCAAGTTGGTACACTACCCAATTTCTTTTAATGGCTACAGATAGGAGACATTTAATAGTTGTCAATTTAACTACAGGAGAGAAAGTTTTAGTGAAGTCTACCCCTTCTAACTGATTATCACCCCTAATTACCAACCGAGCTTTGTATCTTTCAACTGAACCATCAGCCATCTGTTTTATCTTATAAACCCATTTGCAAGGTATGGCTTTCTTACCAGGAGGTAAAGGAAGAATATCCCAAGTATTGTTGGCTTCCAAAGCTTGAAATTCTTTCATCATAGCCTCCTGCCAAGCAGGATTGGAGGCAGCTTGATGGTGAAATTGTGGTTCTTGCAAGCAAAGATTAGAGGGTGAAGGAACCTTAGAACTAGAAACAGAGGAACAAACATAATCATCAAGGTAGGAAGGAGGATTGTGAGTTCTTAGAGACCTTCTCAGAACATGAGAAAGAACATGGGAAGGAGAGGAAGGACTAATAGTACTACTAGGCAAAGAAGAAGGATCAGAAGAACTAGCAGGAGAAATAGGAGGAGAACCACTATTGCTAGCATGACTAACATGAGTGGGAGAGGAAGAAGGGACTGAAAAAGGGGTAACAACAGAAGGACGAAATAAATGAGTAGAATCAGGAGAAGAGTAAGGAAATACAGTTTCATGAAAAACAACATCCCTGGAGTGGAAAACACTATAATTAGATAAGGACAGTAGTTTATAACTCTTCTTGCCAGCACTGTACCCAAGAAAAATAGATGGAATGGATCTTGATTTGAATTTGTCTCTATATGGTTTGGGGACTGCAGCAAAACAAAGGCAACAAAATGTCCTAAAGTGGGTGACAGAAGGAGCAGTACCATAAAGTAACTCAAAAGGAGTTTTGTTATTTAACAAAGGTGAGGGAAACCTATTTATGAGGTAAGTGGCAGTCAAGATACTCACCCCAATATTTAACAGGGAGTTTGACTGAAATAGAAGTGCCCTAGCAGTTTCAAGAAGGTGTTTATGTTTCCTCTCCACAATACCATTTTGTTGTGGTGTATGTGGACAAGAGATTTGGTGTAGAATCCCATGAGCAGAGAAGAAGGACTGAGCTGCTGAGCTAGAACCCAGCTCAAAGGCATTATCAGACCTTACTACTTTAACCAAGGCATCAAATTGAGTTCTAATCATTAGCACAAAGGACTGTAACAAGGTGAAAGCACTACTCTTTGAAGATAGTAAAAGTGTCCAGGTAGCTCTAGAGAAATCATCTACAATAGTCATAAAATATTTGAACCCATTATATGTTTGTGTGTAATAAGGTCCCCAAAGATCTCTGTGTATTAATTGAAAAGGAGAAATGGAGTGTATTTTACTTTCAAGAAATGGGAGTCTCTGTTGCCTAGCCATGGGGCAAATAGGACACAAGAATGTTTGTTTATTTGGCAGTTTATCAGACAAGAATGGAATGGACTTCATTTTATTAAAGGGCATGTGTCCAAGCCTCAAATGCCAAGAATGGCCAAAAGAAAACACAGGAGATTGAATAGTAGAAGAAACATCAGCATTCACAGATATAGAAGATACAAGATTAGAAGTAGAACTACTGCTCCTATTCAAATCAAGTAAAGTGGAGGCAGTAATGGTATTTACAAATGAAGGATGAAAAGTAGAATCAGAAGTAACATGGTTTGCAGGATTGAGAATGTAGAGCCCATTCTGAAGACTACCAAGAGCCACTGGATTCTTCAGAGAAGGGCCTTGGCAATAGAGGAGAAATAAGCCAAACAATTCAGTTGTAAAACTAGTTGAGCAAGAGAAATGAGATTATACTGGAAGGAAGGCACTAAGAGAACATGAGTAAGAGATATTTCAGAGGACAAGTTAAGAGTACCTGTACAAGTCACCTTTACCTTATAACCATTTGGTAAAGTGACAAGATAAGGTAAGACTAGAAGTTTAATGTCAGTTAGAAAAGAAGAGTGTGGGGTCATGTGATGAGTTGCCCCTGAATCTATGATCCAAGGGCTATCTTCTACCCTAGAAAAATTGCAAGCAAGCAAACCACAAGATTTGAAATCAGGATTACCTATTAGACCTGCAAAATTAGCAGAACCAGCAGAGATCTCTTGTGATGTCCCAGAAGCTCGAGAATGCAGAAGACTCAGCAATTGATCAAACTGTTCCTTGGTTATACTAGAAGTCCCACCATCAGATTGGACTATTTTGGTATCACCAGCAGAGTTTTCAGGATGCCCAGTAGGTGGAGTATCAGACATTTGAGCAAATGCTGCAGTCCGTTTGAACTTAGTCTGAAAACCAGGAGGATAACCATGAAGCTTCTAGCATTTGTCAATCTGATGACCAGGCTTCTTGCAATAACGACAAACAATATTGTTCTTTCTGGAAGGGTCGAAACTAGCTCTTTGAGAGTCAAAATTAACTCTTTGAGAGTATGGCTTTTGAACACCAGCAGAGAAAGCAGTAGAATCAGAATTTAAGAGATGGCACATTATTTTGAACACTAGACTGGCTCTCATCATTAACAAGCATCGAGTACACACTATCCACATCAGGTATAGGTTTCATCATAAGTATGTTTCTCCTAATAATGGAATATGATTCGTTCAAACCCATTAGAAATTGATGAACCTTCTGTTCTTCATCTAACCTTTGGTAGGTCTCTTTGCATCCACAAACACAATCAGGATATAATACAGAGAAAGAAAGCTCATCCCAAAGCTTTTTAATTCTGTTAAAATACGATGAAATGCTTGATGAACCTTGGGTAATCGAGGAAATTTCCTTACGGATCTGAAAAATCTTAATTCCACTAGCTTGACCAAATCTGCGCTCAATCTCCTTCCAAAGTTTCTCAGCACTTTCAGTGTACATCACAGTCCCCCTAATCTCCCTATCCAAACTATTCAGAATCCAAGCCACAACCATATCGTTACACCTAATCCAAGGTTCGAGTAAAGGAGAGGTTGAATTAGGTCGTGCAACTGTTCCATTGATCAGGTCTAGTGTATTCTTGCATGAGAGTCCTAATAACATTCCTCGACGCCAACTTCCATAACCAGTGCCATCAAAAATTGTGGTCACCAAAATTGTACCAGGTGAATCAGAAGGAAGCAGATATAGTGGAGAGGAAGGTGTTACAGCAGAATTATCAGTTACACGAGAACTACTAGATATGTCTTCGACAGTCGAACCCGTAGCAAAGGAAATTACAGGAGAATTCGATAGGAATCAAAAATTAGGGTTTCAAATCAGGAGAAAAAAATACCAAATTTGCCTCAAATCTCTAAAGACCAAAAGCTTTAACAGAAATCAAACCAGACAACAACCGCAAATGTTCACTGAAGGCTCATAAACAGAAGATTGCCAGAAAAATTGAGTAGATCGCCGGAAAAATTGAATCTCCTCCGAAATCAGAAACGCGAACAGCTCTGACGAAATCGTAAATCAAAATACATCGATGTGCAACATATCCAACATGATTAGCTCACCCCGTGGCTTTGATACCATGTTAACAAGTGAATTTAGAGAAAATTGACAGTGATAAGAAGATGAACGAACCCTAGGATATGTCGGTACAGAGAGAGAGAGAGTTAAGAGAAAAACGTGAGATCTGTTCTTACTAAAATCTGTGCAGCTAATACAGTTGGGTCTCTCATATGTACATAATACAATTGGGCCTCTCAGCTAATAAAAGTTCATTTATGTCTTCTAGCTATTATTTAAAGTGTTCTTCAGTTACTTGATCTCTTCTTTAATTGCAATCGAACCCTTATCGAGGGTTCAATCAAGGCTGCATTTTAGTGTTCAACTTAAGATCATGCTTGATTGCTCTATTGTGATTGGTTTGATCGTTCATTCTCTCTTTAATTTAATTATTTGTTGTTCTCAGTTTATTCGTATTGAATTAAATCACTTATCTTTAAATCGCATATAAATTTAATTGTTACTAGTTTTGAAGGTAAACACACATTTTCTTCTTTCTTCTTTGAGAAAGTATTTGCTTGCAAAGTTCATTCTATTCTTGTGATACGTTTTGTGATATGGTGCAAACAGAAAAATTTTATTTTGTGTCTCATACAACTGACACTAGTTGTATGAGGCAACCTTTTTGTCTCACAGTTTTGTGGACCCAGATTTCTGTGGACCCAAAAGGGTAAGATTGGGGTCCACAAATTTGTGAGACAAAAAGAGCCTCATACAACTAGTGTCAATTGTATGAGACACAAAATAAAACTTCTCGTGCAAACACAATTGTGTACTTAGAGGGTGTTTGGCTAAGCTTATAAGCTGGTCAAACTGGCTTATAAGCACTTTTTGGCTTATCTACGCGTTTGGTAAAATTAAAAGTGCTTATAAGCCAAAAGTAAGCCAAAAGCCATAAGTTGGTCTCTCCCAACTTATCAAATTTCAGCTTATAAGCACTTTAGGTTTGACCAAAATATTTACTATTCTATCCTAAAATACTTCTATTTAGAACAAAACTCTTCGTATACCCAGTTCTTCAGCTGCTTATTATTAATTTCAACACTTTTATCCAAACACGTAACTGCTTATTTTTTTTAATCAGTTTCAGCACTTAAAAATGCTTTTCACCAGCTAATGCTTATCAACTACTCTAAATCAGCAAAGGCAAATGGGCTCTTATTAGTATTTCCCCCATCATTTCTCGGTCCCACTTCACGTGCTTGTACTGTCTTTTATCTTCGAACAAACCAATCCAAAATCTCCCCAACCCCCACAAAAAGACAATTGTAACTCAAATGACCAAAACGTCCTCAATCATCTCCTATTATAAGTTCCTTACTGCTCGTCTTACTCCTCACCAATGTCTAAACTCTTAACACCAAAGAGAGTGTAAACTTTGCTTTTGTCTATTGGTTTGTTAGATTTGGAAATGTTGGGCGTTTTTAGCAGCTCGATTGTGACGCCGCCGGATGAGCTGGTGGCCGCCGGAAGCCGGACTCCGTCACCTAAGATAACGGCGGAGGCGCTGGTGAACCGCTTCATTAAAATCGATTCTTCGGCGGTGTCCATTCAGATCAACGATCATGTCCAACTCGCCTACACTCACATGGATGAGTCTGCTTCACTGCCAAGGTACGTACCAAAAGTGTTAATCACCCCATTTCATTGTTTGGGAAGTTATTATTTGTCTGGGTACGAGCTTAAAAAAGAAAGATTGTCATTTCACCAATTTCCTTTTGATACCAGTACTTCAGGTAACTTAATTTGTCCACCAAAAAGAAATCCCTTAGTATTTTTACCTTCAGTTTGGAAATTTAACATGAGACCATATGATTTTCAACTCACTTCCTTGATCACTAACTCATGCCTCTGAATGCGTCGTGGCTAAATTTATGTTATTAAAGACAAAATAGTAAAATGAAAATTATTTTTAAATATGAAAAGATGCTTTCTGGAAGAATGGTAAAACAAAAAAAAAAAAAAAAAAAACTGTTACTACGAAAAATAGAAAAAAAAGTTATCTGGACCAGAAAGCTGAGGAGCTTGTGAGGAATTATTTTGTCGGCGTTGATCACATACCTGAGCCACTGATGATTTTAAAGACATGTTGATCACCGTTTGATTGCAGGATGGCCTTAGTTGATAACCATATCTAATTATGTATACTAACAAAGTTTTAGCATTTCCTTTGTTGGATATGTTGAATTTAATTATGCGATCTGACGGTTCAATCGAAGATGATGAAAGCATTAATTTATTGGCTCTATTATATATCAACCCTTTACTTGCATGGATAGAATCCTGCACTAAAAACTTTGGTGTTCCCTTCGGTACCATCTGGATGTTTGATCTTCATGAACGTGGCTGTTTGGCAGGCTCTGTCAATTACTTGAAAAGACACAAAATTTAAACAGTAAATAAAATATTGTCAGCTAATGCAAGAAAAAAAATTAGAAATAATAAGTAGGTGGGAATTTAACTTTTGATAGAAAAAATTAAATAATTCTTGTCGTTGGTCAATGAGTTGGGAGGTTTTTTAGGAGTTCATCAACAAATATTACTACTAATATATATTTCAATTGCATGTGTTTTGAAGCAGCAAATTTAGGAGTATGATCTAAGGTTTTCTTGAAAATACAAATCACGGGAACGTCCAATTTTAAGTTAATTATTATTTTTTATAATTTAAATTGTCGTATTAGGATAGTCAAATTTTTATTGGGTGTAATTTGACCTTCCTTCATTTGTACTTTCTGAGCAATTAACAAATAGTAGTTTAATTACTTCAATGTGACAACAAAAGAATTATAACGGGTAATGTTCAATGATCATAAGTAGAATTAACCGTAAATAAGCAACATGTAAGATTAAGTTGGTGTGGAAATTAAATGACAGGTCATTTGCTGTTAAGGATGAAATATTTTGCTTGTTTGAGGGATCTCTTGACAACTTAGGGAGTTTGAGACAACAATATGGTCTTGCCAAGTCTGCAAATGAGGTGGTATTGATGATTGAAGCATACAAGGCTCTTCGTGATCGGGCACCTTATCCTCCCAGTCATGTCGTTGGTCACCTTCAAGGCAATTTTGCATTTATCGTTTTCGACAAGTCCACTTCTACAATGTTTGTAGCTACTGTAAGTGAAATTTTACCTAATCCAAATTGCCCAGTATATATATAGTTGGTCTTAATGAATCTTGATCCTCTCGCGCCTTAATTTGTTTTGGGTAAACAATGTCACGGGTTCAAATAATCCTGGATCATTGTGGCAGGATCAATTCGGTAAGGTACCTCTCTATTGGGGGATCACTGCTGACGGATATGTGGCCTTCGCCAATGATGCCAATTTGCTTAAAGGTGCTTGTGGCAAATCACTTGCGTCATTCCCTCAAGGTGGGTTTTTTGTGCTTTAGGTGGTTTTTGGTCCATCAAGTGGGATGCATAATGAGTTAGATATGTTTTTTAGAGTTGTCATGTCCAATTGAACATGCATGTGAATAAATTAATATATTTTTTGAGAAAATGACGTCGATAAAGACTGCCTCAATGTATTGAATCTGGATATTTTTCTAGGGTGTTTCTTCTCTACAACAGTTGGAGAACTGAGAAGTTATGAGAACCCCAAAAACAAGATCACTGCCGTTCCTGCTACTGAGGAAGAAATATGGGGCGCAAAATTTATGGTTAGTGTTTTTTTTTTTTTAATATTATCATATCTACAAATTATTCATCATTTAAAAAAAAAAAATTAAAATGGTCCGAGATACGATATTGTTTGCTAGGTCCTTAATTTATTCCTGTATAATAATTCTAGATACGAGAAAGATTCGTCTTGTATGGGCTATTGGGCTCTCAAAAACTAGTGTCACCCATTCGGGGCCTTAACTTTTATGTTTATCACAGAAAGATACACTTGTATGTTAAGAAACTAAGCTCAAAGTAATAACATAAAACAAGGAAATAGACAAGAGATATAGAGAGAAAGAGAGGAGAGAATCTATTTCTTCCATGTATTCAAGTGTGTACAATGTGATGCCCAAACCCTCTATTTATAGGATGATATAGGTAATACAACACTACTAGAATTCCGAAAAAAAACGACCAGCAAAAGCGACCAACGTTGGTCGCTTATTGGCCAAAAAGCGACCAACCACGCCTGGTCAATATTAAGCTGGTCCCTTTACCTTAGGGACCAAAGTTGGTCGCTGGTCTCCCAAGTAAAAGGACCAAATTTTTCGGGCAAAGCATATAGCGACCAACTTTGGTCGCTCAAATATTTTAATATTATATATTTGGCGACCAAAGTTGGTCTCCAGATGTAAATAACGTTTTATTTTTATTTATATTTAATCATATTAAGCGACCAACTTTGGTCGCTATATTAATAAATGTTATAATTTTTTATTTAATGGGCGACCAATATTGGTCGCCAATGGCAAGAATTAATTTTTTTTTTTAACTATAAGCGACCAACCTTGGTCGCAAAATTATCAGATTTTTTTTTTTATGTGAATAGCGACCAACTGGATACCAAAGTTGGTCGCTTTTTTGGTATATTTTTGGCAGAAACTGCCTGCTTTGGCTGCTACACCACCTGCCAGCTTATACCAAATATCTTAAACAGGCATTTTATGCCAGCAACAACAACAACAACAACACTAAAACGCAACAAAATATAAAGATCAATAGAACTAAAACATTAAGCTAACAAAACTAAGTTAACGTTTATTACAAGCTCATTCGAAAACTAGTTCTATTGTCTAGTTCAAAGTATATAAAGTACTCAAGGAGTGTTCTTTTAGCATCCTCGTTCGAAAGTCGGATTGCCTCGGCCGACTCGTTAGGTGGCTGACTTCGTATGAATTCCCCCACATCAGCTCTGAAGCGAACCTAAAAATTATATTGAATTAATATTTCAAAATTTATATAAAAGTAAATCAAAATACTTAATGATAAGTAAAAAAACTTACATGTATAGTCGAGGCTCGACCCTCGACCCACCTTTCTGAATCAGTCTCTTTCTTCTTCTTTACAATACGAGTTTCATTGAATAGCTCATCTTGCTTCATTGGCATCATAAAGCTGTCCGGTGGCTTTGGTGATTATCCTCATGGTACTATTACTCGGGATGAACTTGGATACAGAGAATAACTTGGATATAGTAGCTGACAGGGTGTGTCTTTTGATCAATTGTTGTTCTCGTTAGCGACAATGATGTTGAGACTGCAATGACATGTGTTTCAACTAGAGATGGTATAGGCAGGAATTTTAACATTTCCTAAGTACATAAAAGAAAGATTATAGAGGAATTCTCTACTTCATTTTCCAAGGAGAAAAGAAATTTAATTGAGAGTGACAAGGGTGATGGTGATGGAATGTTTTCCGTTGGTCATGGCAGTTCCCATAAAACGGGGATCATAAGACTCTATGATGACAAAGATTATAGGAAGTTTTGTTCTCAACTTTCTTCCAAGTCTGATCCGTATCTGAAGAATATATCACCAATATCCCACTAAGCTTGTACGGATCAGACTTGGAAGAAAGTTGAGAACAAAACTTCCTATAATCTCTGTCATCATAGAGTCTTATGATCCCCGTTTTATGGGAACTGCCATGACCAACGGAAAACATTCCATCACCATCAACCTTGTCACTCCCAATTAAACTCCTTTTCCTCTTGGAAATTGAAGTATAGAATTCCTCTATTACCTCTTCTTTTATCTACTTAGGAAATGTTAAACTCCTACCTACACCATAACTATTTGAAACACATGTTCTTGCCTTCTCATCATCGTTGTCGCTAATGAGAAGAAAAATTAAAGGCACACTCTGACAGGTACTGTGTCTTAGTTAGTTCCATTGCATGTTTAATATTACCATCAACCCCTTCTACAAAATCCTCCCGCAATCTAAAATTCCAATACATAAACCAAAATTTTAATTCACATCTAAAGGTTCAACTCATATCCAAAAAAAATTCAATTTATAATCTAAAATTCCAATTCATAAACAAATTCCAATTCATATCCTAAAGGTTCAAGTCATATCCTAAAATTTCAAGTCATATCCTAAAAGTTCATATCCTAAAGGTTCAATTCATATCCACAAAAGTTCAAGTCATATCCTGAAATTTTAATTTATAATCTAAAATTCCAATACATAAACCAAAATTTCAATTCATATCCTAAAGGTTCAACTCATATCCACAAAAGTTCAAGTCATATCCTGAAATTTTAATTTATAAAATTTAAATTCCAGTACATAAACCAAAATCTCAATTCATAAACTAAAAGTCCAATTCATATTCTAAAGGTTCAACTCATATCCACAAAAGTTCAAGTCATATCCTGAAATTTCAATTTATAATCTAAAATTCCAATACATAAACCAAAATTTCAATTCATATCCTAAAGGTTCAACTCATATCCACAAAAGTTCAAGTCATATCCTAAAATTTCAATTTATAAACTAAAATTCCAATACATAAACCAAAATCTCAATTCATAAACTAAAAGTCCAATTCATATCCTAAAGGTTCAACTCATATCTACAAAAGTTCAAGTCATATTCTAAGATTTCAATTCATAAACAATCACTATAGTATGAATAGTTTTATACTATTACCATGCTGACCAATCTAGATAAATCTTCTAATTGTTCTTTGTGAAAATTAGGTTTTTCCGAAATGAGGATATGAGTATGCCAAGATACTTCAATCTAAGCTTAAGTATGTAGTTATATATGTGTAATATGCCCAATAATGTAATGGGTTAAGTGTTTTATTTATAAATATAAGGGGTGTATTCTCAAATTAATAACTCCTAACTTTCAAAGATAAATTTATTAATTATCTATCATTTAATTAAACGGATTTTAGATTGGCTACCATATTCCATCTAATCAAGAACAAAAGAAATATCAATTGTTCTCACTGGCCATTCCTTTTCTGAAAGAAATATCAATTGTTCTTCTACAAGTTAAGTCTGCACCTTCATTTTTCTGTGTTAATATCAATTTGTTTGTTGATACTGCAATACTACTGCATTATCATATTAAAATTATTCTTCGTGTTTCAATTTTGTGATAAAGTAGAAAAGTTCTATTTAGGAAAATCTACATGAGTCAAACAATGAAATAAAATAAATATCAAGATAATCAGATCTAGATTCTAATCCTCACAAGAACTAAATTCTAATTTGACTCAACCATAACAAGACTTAACATAAACCCTAAAAATTTAGGGTTTCTTCTCTTCAACCCATTTTTCCCCAAATTAGTAGGTAAAACTAATTATTTTAGCTACTAATAATTATCCTAGATTTAATTTAGCTAAGAACAATTAATTTTTACAAATCAAACTACAAAGAATTAAAATAAATCTTGTATTTCGAAAAAAATAAGGAAAGGAGAGAGAAACCTACCTGGACAGTGAAGGACACCGGCGGTGGAGCTGCTGC